GGCGTTGGAACAAAAAAAACCTCGACGCAACTGACAGGTTTAATCCTTCAAAACAGACGTGGTTTAATGTGACTGTTTTAACAGTGGAAATCCCACAACCTTCATGATCCTTCATCTGCTTTCTCCGAGGCGAGACAATGTCATTACCAGAAAATCCTTCCTAAATCTGAAGCAGACGCTACAGTTTTTTCAAAATCATACTCCGCCCCCCCACGCAGACTGTGATGTGGTGTCATGAGAGCAGTGACAGTCTAATATGTGGTCGGTGGGAGTCTGTCTGTGTGTGTGTGTGTGTGTGTGTGTGACCACAGTGTGTGTACTGCTGTGTTTTTCTGAGTATTTCCTGTCTTTTGTTTAGACATGAACTGGAAAACCCAGCCGGGCTCTGTCTTTCCATGGTGTTTGCATAGTAAAATTATACTACAGAGTACTACAGTCACAAACACCCAGTACCTCTTCATATAAGAAATAGTACTACTGAAGTGAGTACTACTAAAGTGAGTACTACTGCGTGAGTTCTGGTACAGTTGGCTGTTAGAACCCTCCACCCTCCAGACTCCCGTCTATTTTAAGCAGGAGACGGTCCTGGTGTCCCAGGGCGGGGCCGCCCCCCCCCCCCCCCCCGGGGGGCCACACCCACTGGAGTGAGTGGATCGTACCATGTGACCTGCCTTCTCTCTGTCACTGTGATGCAAATGACCGTGTCCTCCAGTGAGTCACAGCTGGGACACTGACGCTGCAGAGGACCAGGACCAGGACCAGGACCAGGACCAGGACCAGGACTTTACAGGCACTTGGACTTTGAAGGATTACTCTGATGTACCTAGTTTTTTGTTTTTTTTTAAATATCTTTGAGCTTTTGTGGGAACACCCCTGCTGTAACCGGACAGCGCCCCCCAGAGGAATTTAATGTTTCAGGTTTCAGGAAGTCCAGATGGTACGTTAGTGCTTGTCGTAACATGTGCCGTTAATACAATGAATCTGGGTGTTGTAGAGGTGTGTGTGTGTGTGTGTGTGTGTTGTGACAACACGTTGTCTTTGCCTCCGTGAGCTGTGAAGTGTGTGTGTGTGAAGAGTGTGAAGTTTTTGAAGTTTTGCTGACATTGCATTTTTACAATGTTTTATTGCTTCAATAATCACAGGAATGACCCTTTAACCACTAAACAGTTTAACGTCAGCGAGCCTCGTGATTGGTCGGTGTGAATCAGATCACATGAGATGAACTAAAAAAAAAAAACCTCACTGTAACAAAAGTTAGTTCAGTGTTTACCATCGGGTTTTTTTCACGCCACATATTTAACAATAAAAAACTCCCTCATTGAAGTACAAATCAAAAATGTACCACAGAGTACATGCAGTGAAATATAATGATGAGTTACTTCGAGGGCTGTGTATTGTCAATAACCCGTCGATACGACACGTATCGTCATACAGGAGCAACAGTATACGATACTATATATATATTGAGATATACTGCGATACTATAGGTATAATCTACTTGTAGTAAAACTGTCATCATACTCAACTAAAAATACGAATATTTGACAGTTTGCAAATACGGTATCGTGGATAAAATATCGTGATACTTCATTGTACCGATATTTTCCTACACTCAACAATTTACTGAGTCAGTGTGAACCCTGGGCCTGTTTAGTTGAACACCACACCGCTGTGGTGGCAGGAACTGAAGAAAGAGACACGATCATCTTCACCAGATGAGTTTCTGCTGCCACCTGTTAGCTGTTAGTTAGACAGCTCATTCACTTCCTGGACATTCAAATAAGAACATTAGCCGGCGGCTAACACCGAGGCTAAACTCAGAAACTGGAGGTCAATGTTTTACTTCAACCACAGGACTGTAGTTTGTTGACTCTCAGCAACGACTCCTCTCTTTACTTTAGACACGTGCAGCTCCGAGTCGTAGGGAACGACTACTTACAACAGCACAGGTCGGAGTCAGTGGCGTCTTGTTGCGGAGGTCGAGATGAGTCGGGATTCTGAATGAAAACACTGTCGTCTCCGATTTATGACGTGTGAAACAGCGCCCCTCTGTGTTGAATGAGTGTTGAAAACATGGTACTGCACCATGTTGTCTGTGAGGAGGCCAAGCTGAGTTGGCTGGGCTACAGTACTACAGTAGTACTACAGTAGTACTAGTGCTCAGTGCCCACTGATCTGTGGGGCCGTACACCACCAGAACAACAACAACAATCATTAAAATCTTTTGATCTTCAGTCGTCTCCAGGGCTAAAGTTTAGGCCTGACCTTTGACCTTTGACCTTTGGTTAACTGTGTCTGTTTGTCGTTTGTTTGGCTGCAGAGTTCGGAGGAGAAGCGGGGAGTGTTGGACCGCATCAGCAGCTTCTTCACTAAGAGGAAGAAGAGCAGGAACAGTTCCGATGCCTCCAGCGGGGCCTGCTCCCCAACGTCGCCCCCGTCCACCTCAGGGTCACCGGGTCTCTGTGAGGAAGAGGATGGACTGAAGACCCCCACCCCTTCACGAAAAGACGGGCCGTGGGGCAGAGCGGCGGGGGGAGACGCCCTCAGCCGCAGCTCCACTCCCAGTGGGATTTCCCTGACGACCACCGAGGCGGAGCTCCCGTTCGCAGACAGTGACAGCAGCGGTCGGGGCAGCGTGAGGGAGGTCTACGTCGATGGGTTCGGCAAAACCAAAAAAGAAGGGAATTCTGGGAGGGTCACTCCCACCACCCCCATAACGGAGTTGAACTCGGGAATAGGCTTCGCAGAGTCGGTGGTGGAGGAGGTGAACAAGAAGCTGCACGTTCAGCTGGAGGAGCGCATCCTGACCGACAGCGAGGGTCACCGCGAGGAGTCCCCCGTCAGCGCCACCACCCTGATGACGTTCGTAGTCCCTTCGTCCCAGACCCCCGACAGTCCGAGGTCCCCCAACCTCACGTCCATCTCTTTAACTTCAAAGAAAACCTCGGTGAAAGTGGGCGGGAACGGTCACAGCAGCTCGCTGACGGGAATACGGTTGGGGTCACAGTCGTCCGCGCCAACAGCCGCCGACGCTGTTCACCAGGTCACCAGGACTCCTTCACCTGAGAAGGGGGAGGAGAGACCCAGGAGCGACTCTCCCGTCCAACTGCACAGAGCCATCTGGGTGGAAACACACCTGGGTGAGGAAGACTGGGAGGGGGAGGAGGTAAT